TGCTGAAAGCCTGTAATATAAATGGAATTTAATGTATATGGTGACTGTTTGGATCAGTTTGTATACAGATGGTTGTTAGTGTGGCCTATTTTTCCCTCAGTAGGCATTGGCTTTTAAAGAGAATTGTCTACCCCTCCCCCTCATTATAAGATGAAAGGAGCATTTAAGTTGATAAAATATGTTGTAAGTTGTTAGGCCTTAAGTCATGGCCTAAGTTTTTTCCCCTCTGACCTTAGCATGCATCTTTCTCCCTTTTTCAGGAACAGTACTGGCGTTCTGTTGTATTTCACAACCATGTGGATTACTTATCAAAAAATGGCTATGAACTTGATGAAAATGCTAAAAGTCAATCAATGAAAGAACAGCAAGAACTTTTAATGAAGCTGTTTGCCGTAAGTACAAACAAATAAAAAATAGAAAGAATCCCTGAGACTTTATTTCGAGTAGATAGCCTTTGATGTAAATTTGGATGTGATTCCTCTTATTAGAAGTCTGGCTAGTGACTGGCAATCCAGCTAGTTCACAGACTATGATAAGAGGTGGACTGCAGTTAATATTGGGATTGCTTATCAGTGTGTAGGGTGGGAGGAAGAAGGAAAAAAAAAAAAAAAAAGCTTTTTCTTTGCTCTGCAGCTCATGATTGATGGTGGTTTGTCTTTATTCATTCACTCCACCAAGACCATAATATTCTGGTCCTAGAGTCTTGAGAGAGCTGTGTAATTGTGAAGTGTGTAACTCTCAAGGCTTCTTTTTTTTCAGCTTTCTTGTAGACTGGAGCGTGAATTTCGTTGTGTGGAACTTGCTGACCTCATGACACAAAACGTTGTGAATTTAGCTATCAAGTATGCTTCTCGCTCTCGAAGACTAAATTTAGCTCAGCGACTTAGTGAAATGGCTGTAGAGAAAGCAAATGAGTTGGCAGCAGCACCAGAAGATGAAGAGGAGGAAGAGGATTTCCGAAAGCATTTGAGTGCTGGGTAACACAAATTTCTGTGATTAAAAACCTGGGAACATTTTTACTGACCTATTATCATTTTGGTCCAGTTGATGCACTTTTCTGGACCATAGTTGGCAATGTATTTGTTATGAAGTAACAGTCTGTGTTACTCTACTCATAAATTGTACATATAAAATGGTACATTGTTGATATTTTGTGAGGACTCGTTAGTACCAGGATACTAACACAAAGGGAAATACTTCCACTCCTTGCTTACTGAATGTCTGTGTACAACAGCTTCAGAGGCAAAGTAGACTCAATACCAAGTTGCTCTGATTAGAATTTTTTCTTTTTCTTGCCCACCCCCACCCCCACCCCCAGCTTGTGCTGGTTTGGTTATTTGACTCCAGCCTATTTTTTTTTCTCTCTGTCTCAGTCTCTCTATCTCACTTCATTCCACACCTATCTTAAAATCTTTCTATCTTTCTCCAGCCCTCCCCTCTTTCAGTATCCCATCTCAGTGTACCCTATTTAGTCTTACTCCCTCCTAATTAATCCCAGTTCTTCAAAGCTATGGAAATACTACAGGTTTGCTATGCATTTTTCCCCCTTTGTATCTGTGCTATCTACCTTTCCTCTCCTACCTGCATCTGCTTTGTAAAGTGTGATGAGGCAAAAGATGTGTGTTGGGTTTTTTTTTTTTTTTAAATATAGATCATACAGAACAGCTGTGTTCTTGCTTGGCCTCTGGATAGTACATCTGTAAGGAAAATAATTGCTAACCACCAGTCTGATAGTGCAGAAAAAATGTGATAACATTTTGTCAGAAGCAATATCTTCCTATAGCAATTTCATGTATGAAGTTTGGAACTTATTTAACCAAGATGAAGAGATAAGTCCCTGAACTCATCTGTAGCCTTTCCCTTATTCTTCTGTGTGAAAATGCACAATTAAAACTCCTTTCTAAATGCTCTACCTTGTTCTTCTCGATCATGAATGGAAGATATAATTGCACATCTGTGACTTCAGCCACTCTGAGGGTTAAAATTGTCATAGAATAGTTTGGGTTGGAAGGGACCTTTAAAGGTCATCTAGTCCACACTGCTGAACATCACAAGCACTATATTGTTCTTAGTGCCAGATTAATAACTGGCATTCTGGTTGAAATAAATGAACTTTCAGTTTATGTATACACAGATTTTAGTAATCGGCAAAGATTAGGAGGGAAATGCAAGAAATGTACATACCACTATACTGGGAATTTGGAGAATAATCAGACTAAATATTAAAACTCGCTTCCTAAGCTTCGGCCTGAAAATATGCATCCATGTTACCACCTGTGTATTTATTCATGTATGCAGAAAAGTAATCTAGTATTATTTATGATATTGGAGGTATACGTGTTTAAATGGAGATTACAGAAGATGCTTTATGCTTGCATTTATATTTGTGGCAAAGTGTTCTGGCGACAATAGTGATGCACTCAGCAGGTGGCAAAAGGTTGCTCTTTCTGTTTGGGTGCTTGCTCTTGTGCATGGAGCTGTTTGAAGGCCAGTGCATGTACTTTCCACTGAGTGTGAATTTCAGGCACTTTCATAGCCCTATGTGGTCTTTCTTAAAACTACACGAGTACCACTTCATGCAACTGTACTTGGCGTTTCAGGGTGAACTGAAGTGGTTAATGAATCTTTATTTTATTTTTAGTAATCACCACAGTTTAATCAGAGATATAATGCAAATAAATGCCAAATGTTATTGTTCTCATTTCCTAAATTAGATAAGTAAGTTAGCCTGCCTTTGTTCCAGTTTTCCTTCTGAATGTGGTGAGTACTTCCTTTCTGATGAATTCCTTTCATTTAGTTACAGCAACACTGCCACGGAGTGGAGTCGGCTGCCAGTCAGAAATGTTCAGCAAGACCAAGAAATGGAAGATGCTGAGGAAACTGATGCCTATGAGGAAGTAGAAGAAACACAAGAAGTGCATAAACAAAGTAGGAAAAATATATTCTCTGAATAGGCTGGAAGTTACCTAGATGTGTCTTTCACAGACTTAGTAAAGAATTCTGGAAAATTCCCAGATAATTTGTAGCTTGGATAACTCAGCAGTCTCTAGGACTATGCAAACAACGGGTTTTTCTGTCTATTGTTTTGTTCTTTTGACATAAAATTTAGGAAAGACAGGCACACCATTTGTCAAGGGGCACCACAAGTGAGGTACAGGAGGTTTCATTTAGAAGCCATTTATGTAAATAGAAAATAATCCCATTTGTTTCACTGAGTTTTGAAACTCTGCGACTGTAGCAGGGACTAGGTTTTCTAGTTAGAACAGGTCTGGTAGTTTCTGATCTGTCTTATTTGGGTGTTGATATTAGCAGGAATAACGGGGTAACATGCAGTAACTCCTGCCTCTGAGCTTCCCGTTACCTGGAATTCCCTGTGGGAGATGAGCGGTAGTGCCTACCTGAGGGTGCGTATTCCAGCCTGTGCCTGCAGTCGTTGCAGAGCAACAAGTTTAGCGTGTGTCATCTGCTCTGTGGCAGCTTGCTCACGCGTTGTACTTAGTAACTGAGGGACCTTTGGGAGTTTTTCTGTTGTCTGATACTATTTCTAATGGACTGGGTTCCCGTGTGAAACGGTTACTTTGGTTTCAGCTCAGATCTTGCAGGAGTTGAATTGATAGACGAGTAGTTTGCTGGGCACGCTTCAAGGAATCAGTTTAAGGTTTAGGGAATAATACAACTCTTTAAGTTAAATCTAGGTAAAGACAAAGATGGTTTTGTAAGTGTATGTACAATTTGAAAATGAGAATCGTGCTTTAAAATACAGATTGCTTTACTATAACTGGCTTGTCTGGGGTTTTGTTTTTTAACAAGTTATGCTATTAAATTTTATTGCACTTAAATACATACCTCTTTCTTTGTTCTGAAGGGCCAAATCCTTTCTCCAAAGGTGTCACTTCAGCAGAGGTGACTACTCCGAAGTCTGGTGGGTACATCTCCATTTATTCCAAGCTGAGAACTTTGTCATGCTTCACAATACCTGCTCCTGTTTTTATGCTCAGTTCTCCCGTTACTACTAAAATGTCGTGCATAACAGTGTTGCCAAGTGGTAACTTGCACTGATTATTGCTCTCACGTTTTTAAGAGGTTCCCTATTCCTGTTGATGTGTTCATTACCTAAAGATGTTCCATAACACTATGCTGATTGCCTTAGCTGTGTCAAATGCCGAATCAGTTGTCTACCTGGCTATGTCATGAAGGCATTCTTTGAGACAGGGAAAAAATGAGAACAATGGTCAAGTGATTTGTTTTACTAATGACAGGCACGTTTATTGGTTGCACTTACAGGGCAGAGTTAGTAACCCAGCCGTAGAACTGTGAGTCTGAGCAGGCAGGGGCAGAATGCGACCTCTTGCTGCTTCTTGCTTTTTCCCTCCTGCCAACCCTCTAGCAGGAATAATAGGAGTGGAAACGGATTTGGGAGTGGAGGAAGTACTGGGTCTTCCTGTGGATTTGTATTTTAAGCTGTTGGTCCTGTGTGGTATTTCTGATGACTAATAATAGCTGAGCACGTATAGTATAACCTTCATGGGGTTATTAAAGTGTCTTTCTCTTTATCCGACCACTTTCAAGCCTGGTGGGAACTTTTTTAATTTGGTGTGGAATAGCTGATGCCTTTGATTCAGTTCTCCTCTTCAATTTTCAATGAACAGAGGCTGAAACACACAAAAGGAGTGTTAGCCTGGTTCTTTGGAAATGAGGCTAACATTTTTTCATCTACTCATCTAAAATGTGCATGTTGCTTCCTAGATTTCTGTATATGTGTGTGTGTACACATTTTTACGTTCTTTTTTCTTTCTTATTAAATAGTTGTAATTGCATCAAGCAGCCAAGGAAGAGTGAATCCCTTTAAGGTAAGAATTTTGCAGCTGGTTTGATTGTGGTGTTCTGAAAATCACAGCAGATTATTATATCTAAAGTTTACGATATAACTATGACAGATATCTTGGAGGGACAGAGGAGGGGAATATGACAGAAAATAAATGAAATGTCTATTTATTTGTTTTGCTAGGTGTCATCTAACAAAAAGAACTCAGTAGTCCCCTCAGCAAATGTTCTAGACACTATGAGCAAATACTCAAAGAAAACTTCTTTGTCTAGCAGTCGAGCTGTAAACAAGCAGAACCCTCCAGTTATAAAGCCTTTGATTCCCAAACCCAAGTCCAAGCAGGTAATGTTTCTAGTCTTTTTCTATTGTTTCAGTGAGCAAAGAACAGTAAATTGAATATTACCAGCTTTTATCAAGTATGATTGAGTAAAGCATCTTAGATGGCAAAGTTCATTTAAGCATACTGCACAAACTATAAAAGCGCATAAAACAGCAAAAAAAATTTTCAGTTGTAGAAATTACATTCTGCACTGAATCTTGTGCTTTTATTTTAAATAGTGTTAACTAAACATCTACTGTGCTGAAATTGGATGGATTAGATGCTATATTAATGCAAGTGATTATTATGTCTTTAGGAACAGCTTGGTTTTTGTTAGGCTACATGGTACGTGTTGTCTGAGTGAGAGTGAGGTGTTCTTACCTTTCTTTTTTTTTTTTTTCTTTTTTTTTTTTTTTTTAACCCTCAATTTCTATAGGCTTTAGCAGCCTCCTTCTTCCAGGCTCATACTCCTAACTCCCATGAAAAAACAGTGGAAGAAAGAGAAGAAAAAGCAGGAAACGAGTCCCATGAAGTCAAAGTCACTGCGCAGGAGAACACTGAAAACAAAAGGTGAGTGGACGCTTGCATCTCAATGCCATATTCCAATTTTGATAGTACAGCAAGTCTGAAAACTATTCTGCTTCTGAAGACAGTATACTGGCTGAAGTAGCATAACATCAAGATTAAAGTGTTAGCTCACAAGTTGTCACGTCTGTGAACTTGCTTCAGAAATTTAGTAAACTGCTACTTATACTATACATATTATCAAACAAACCTGCGTAAAAAACGTTGCTTGGATTTCCAAATTGCCACATTACAATGACAGTCAAAGAACAGAGAAAATCATTCTGTTCATTAAACCTTTCCCAGTATGCATAGCAGTGTTATTCAAAGTAAAAGTTTTGCATCGGCCTGAGACAAATACATGTGTGAGTGCATAATAAATGAACAAAGCAAAATGTAATTTTGGAGCTCTAAGCAATGATTTTTGCCTTGATACTACTTATGCATCTGATAATGACCTTTGAATGATAAATGAAACCATGCTGCTGTGCCAGTTCCAAGTATAGGAAATACTTAAAGTTTAAACATCTCTAGCAAATCTCAAAGGAGTTTTAAAAGCTAAGGGTTTTACGTGAAAGTGTAAAGGCTTTATTTTAGTATCTTTTTTAAAAAAGAAAACAAACAAAAAATTTACATCACCTAAGGAGCGTGTCTCTTCCTAGCTAATACTCTAATCTGTCTTATTCCTGTGGAGCAGATGCATTTTCTAACAATCCCAGTCCTCATGAAACTTGCATAATTATAATCATTCATTTAGACTGCATTTAGCTGAGGAAGGTGAAGGTAATTATTATTCATTTGGACTAGCATTCTTTTCATTAACCTTTACAGATAATGTTCTAAAACAAGTGGCAAGGAGAATTGTGAAAAGTATTAGCTGAAACATGCTAATATATGTGCTCTATTTTTAGGTTGATGGGACCTTGTCAGAAAGGAAGAGAACCATTATGCTTTGTCATTCTAAAACTGAAATGTTAATCTCCATATATATCACAGTTCTAATAAAAATGCTTGACTTAATCTTGGCTTGTCAGCATTTTCTTTAAGCATACTGCAGTAAGAGAAAGCAAACTACTGACTATATATATGTCTTTTCTTTCAAGAACAAAAAAGTCCAGTTAGGTGTTGTTTAGAAATGTTGTTTTGGGGGATATGGTTTTCCTAAAACCTTCTTAAACGGGCAATTTTTGTGTGCTTTTTTAGACCAAAGACAGGATTCCAGATGTGGCTAGAAGAGAACAGAGCAAACATTTTGACAGATAATCCTGATCTGAATGAAGCAGAAGTAATAAAAGAAGGCATGAGTCGATTTAGAATGCTGTCGTCAGAAGAAAGAATGGTAAGAAAGCATTCTCTAATTCTATTTTTTTTTTGAGAATTTTTTTCCTTGGTTATTTTTGGCTAGGAATTTTTTCTTTAAATTCCAGTGTTCTCCATCTTCATGGACTTCAGTTTTGAGTTGGGCCATGATCTATGACATACACTTTATGAAAATATAAACGATCTGAATAACAAGTAGTAGCAGAAAGCAGCTTTTCCAAAGTGGGACATGTGAGAGAAACATAATCAATGAAAAAATAACAAAAGAGAAGGGAAGAAGTTAAAAGTGACGTAGCCAGGCTTAAATTCATTGGGGCTTAAATTTGTTCTAAAACCTTTTGGGTTTCTTATTTGTCCAGAAAGGCAATTAAGAGCTTCAATTTAATATACAGGCTCAAATTAAGTATAGTGTTGAAGGAGAATGCTGTTACAAAAAAGGAAAGTGAGGAAATTGTTCCTAACTTGATCCTTATTAGTTCTTAACAGGAATTATTTCAGTGCTGCCTTATAATCAGTGAAAGAAGGTGTATAAAATAAAATGGTGAGTTTTGTGGCCTAATTTGTAGTTTTCTGTTTAATGGTGTACTTTCTTCAAAGGTGTGGACTGAGAAAGCAAAAGGAGGAATGGTTAATGATTTAACAGAAGATAAAAAGCGAAAGCGTCCCACAGCTGATGAAGATGAAGCGAAAAAGAATCAGGAGCAAAAATCGGAGGACTCAAATTTATCCAAAAAACCAAAGCCTTTAGATCAATCTACAAATGTCAGATTGTCAGCTTTTGCATTCAAGCAAAGCTAAGTAATGCGGTACCTTCTCAGCATCTGTTTTCTGAAAACATTAGGTAGCTTTGTATTGAGAAATTTGCTGCTGTGCTCAAAGAGTACTAGCAAAAAGAGTGCCTTGCTCCAAATAGTCTTTTAGAAAGTATTTTATTATCAGTTCTTGAGGGAAATGTTGAATCCACTCTCCCGATCTTTTGCAAGTTACTAGCATAAAGCTTGATAGCAAAACTAATACTAATGGACCTGTTACCTAGAATCGTAGTTCCACACAAATGTGTCTCGACACTTGTAATATTTGATGCTAAATACAGATTAGTCATTCTGAGGAGGATAAACTACATCCAAAAGCTGTCCTGTGGTTTTAGAGAGGCAAAGTAATGGCTTCTATACCATTCCTTCTGCCTGCTGCAAACACTTGTAAGAGAAAGACACTCAAAGAAATGGGAGTGAGGGGAAAATAGCTTAACATGGTGCTGATGTCCAGCTGCATTTTCACCATCTGTGGCTCTGACAGTGGCTCTGCAGAGAGCAGCCTGATAGGGGCAGGGAGAGAGAACCAGGACAGAAGCTGAATTAGGAAGGTCAGGTGTGCAAAAATGAGCCATTCCAGACTGTGCAAATGTAATCTCCCGATCTGTACCTCAGCAGGGTCCAGAAAGTGCGCAGAACTTGAAAATCTCTGTATTGTTTTATGTAATGTTTGTTTTTAAAATAAAATGTGAATGTTTTTTTGTTTTAAGGTGGTGGTCTTCTTTGCAATTTTTATAATTAAAGTAAACAAACTTCTACCTACAAGTCATAGGCAGTCGTATTTACCTTCTCTGGAGAAAAGGCAGTACGTCTAATAAATGTACTTGAAGCAAACTCAAAGTTTGAAACTTTTTTTAAGGATAATGTAAAATAATTTAGCATAACCACTGAGACTGAAGAGTTCTAATTTAGGGTGTTTTTTCCCTGGGTTTGCACATCCTTTCATTGTTCGCTTTTTTCCATTCTTTATTTGTCTTCACGTTATTACTGTAAAAGCAAATCACTGTCCATTTAGAACACATTTTTAACATTGAAATCTGTATATTGAAGATTCAGTGAGATTTCCATAAAAGCCACTGAATCTTAGTGTAAGACGTGTTTTGCTAGACTTTTTTAGCAATTGTAGGTCATTTTGGAGAAAACAGCTCCTATTTTCACTGTATGGAAACAAACAAACAAACAACCCAACAACAAAAACGGGGGTCATGATGTCAACCAGGGATGGTAATTACAAATAGAGGAAGACCTGAAGACCTGTCAATTTAAATGCTTTGTTTTATCCACAGTTCTTATATATTGTTTGTTAAATCCTGATAGTAGACAGCAAGTAATAACGTAAGTAATAATTAATTTTCTGTATTGACATAATTCAGGATGTTCAGGAGAGTAGTGGCATATTATAGTGATTTTTCTACATTCTTTGGGAAGAAATGATTGTATCAGAGACTGGAATTTATTTTTAGGCAGTAAAGCATATTTCCACATTTGGGTGCATTGGAGAAAAATGGAATTGGTAAGAAAAACACCCTGATAGAAAAATCACTATGAGCTTGGTGAACTATAATGTTTTCTTTCTACTAGACTAGGTCTTCCTGATGAAACTTGACCGTGGTGCTGCAAGATGGGCTGGGTGTGAACGGATGGCCTTTCTTTTCATCTACATACATATAATCCGTACTCAAGCTGAGCTGCCTGTCAGGTGCCCTTTCTACAAGCCAAATATGAGAAGTTAAGTGACCCTCTGCAGTAAGTAAGCAAGCTTTTTGAGTGACTCCTCAGGGCTTCTATATAAAGGCTGCGTAAAATTACTTGAGCAAGAATTTATACCTTGGGCTCAGGACATTGAACCCAGTTGTGCTTCTGGCTGTTGGGACTGTGTCTGCCCACCGTCCTGCCCTGCTGTGCAGGCTGTGCTTTGCTTCAAACTAGAGGCACAAACCCGGTACAGTTCCTGTTCTACAGCAGAGGTGGGTAGGTATCCACTGCTGCAAACAGCTGGTCCCACAAAGCATCCAAAGTCCTTTTGGCTCCTGTAGGAGGGAGAAAACATCCAAAGTAAACTTCCATGAGAGTTTTCTGAGAGCTGGATGCCTGCAATCATGTAGCTCTTCTGAACAAACACGCCAAAGGTCTGTTTAAAGGGAGGCTCCTGGAGTTAGTGGATGGTTTCATGGAAATCACTGGGGACGTCGGGCACCATCCTGCACATCCCTGGTTCCTGCTTGCTTTTCTCCTGGCTTAATTTTTGCTGTAAAATGTTTGTGGGTTTCATCAGACCCAATGTCCGCAGCCTTGGGGTCACAGTCTGGATTTCACTGCTACCCCCACGGCTGGTTAGAGGTGGCAAAACTGTTTCCAACATCAGACTAGAAATTTTGCATCGGAGCTGCGTGGCTGTGATGGTGATTGCAGCAGTGATTTTTAGTTATGACAGTTGCTGTCCACAGCAACAAAATAAAGAGCCAACAGGGGCTATTGAGATCATGGAAGCGAGTACCTGGCTGCTTTTATGCTGGGAGGATCATCTCCCACTAGGCGGCTGTTAAGTTTCTTTCATCGAAGATGGGTTTTGCTCTGTTACACAGCTCCGGGCAGAGCTACAAATACACCCTCCATCACCTGGAGCCTTCCAGGGAGCTGCACTGAGCCAGCTGGGAACGGGGCGCGCTCATCCAGCAAAAGCATCGGCAGGAGAGCGCTAAGTATAACTTTCAATTGGGGTGGAAATGAAATGCCAAACCAAAAATGAACAGAAAACATGGAACAGATTTTCAAGTGGAAACAGTTTAAATCTTGACTAGCTGTTTTTCATTAAAAATGATCCCCAAAGAATTTTATAGAATTTCACTGAATTCTTCAGAAAAGCTTGTTTGTCCTGAATTTGCCATCTTTCTTTCAGAAAAGCCAACCTGGAAACTGTGTCAAAGGACCTGCCTGATGTTGGTTGTTCATACGGTGCTCAGAAAACCAGAGAGAGAGGATTGCACTGCTGAAATATCTGATCTTTGGTAACCCGTTCCCTTCCCCAGCAGAAAGGCTCCATCCATTGACCCATGGCTGGGGCTGTGCTGTGACTGTGCTCTTTGTGTTGCTGTGCCAAAAAGCTTTGCTGTGGTTAAACCCAGCCCTGACTCCCCTACCTGATTATTGCCATTCCTCTTCAAATCCCAGGCACACAAAGAACCTTCTCCTCTTTCTGTGTCCGAGTCTGTCATCCTCTTCCGTTTCATCACGTCATTTGACTTTTAAAAAAATCCCTTTCTTGTGCACTTTTTCTGAAGAAGAAAGTAATGTTAAAAAAGTACTGGATGAAAACAGATAGCAGGTGATGGAGTCTGCAAAAGAGAATATTGCTGAAGATTTGTATGTGTGGCATTTTGTTCAGTTACCTCTGTTGCTCTATATCTAACCTAGAGCAGCTCCTTGCTGGAAAGATGCAGCTACTAGAACCCGACAAAAATAGCCCCTGTCAGCTTTTCAGGGGACATATAATCCAAAGTAGCAAACGCCCACCTCCCTTGTTCTGCAGCTGACAGAGCGTTTCAAGCCCTTTATCTTATAAAAACATCTATAAATTATCTACTAGGTATGCTGACGTGTTGCTAACCTGTTGGACTTCAGAGGGAGTGCTGGACCAGCAGGACACTCAGCATTTATTCAGAGAAAAAACATTTGTACTACAAATAAACAAAATATCTGCTCACCTCCTAAAGAATATTTTCGTTGGCTTTCCCAGCACTTGCTCCATAATATGATTTTGCTACGAAAGAAAACAGCGCTGCGACGCTGCCCAGCCCAGCCAGTAAAACCAACGCAGGAAGCCTCATTTGCCTTAGGAGCATCATGTTGCTGTATCAGGCGTGAGCTAAGGAGGAGGCTAACAGGTACGTCGGAGGAGGAAAGCACTCTTCCCGTGGCATTTCGTTTTCTACCTGAGCTGCTTAGTGCTGCCTGTCCCTCACTGCCGGGCTCTGACTTGTGGGCTTGCAGCTGATGGGTGGGCCATGCTGCAGCTGGGCTGCAACAACATTGCTGAAATAGTATTTTGCATACCCTACTCTTTTTTTTTTTTAATGGTCTTCAGTGCAAATCCTGCCAAAAAAAATTCTCTGCCCTTTGCATGCCATGGATCTATGTCAGCTTGTGTTATTTCAGATTTGGAGTTTTCTTTCACTGTGCTTTAAATCACGGCAACAAGCAGCCTCTGGCGAGGATGCCGAGTACGTGCGGTACACAGCACAGAGCGGTAGCTGTTTTCAAGTAAATGGTGTAAAGCTGATTGCTGCCTTTTGTACCGGGAGTTTTAACTGGTTTTGTTGTTGTTTTCAGAGTAGGTAGTGGTTCAAATTAGAAAGTCTATCTATTTGCAGCACAATATCTGACACGTTTATCTCAAACATTTGGTACTGGAGTGTGATAGCAAATATTTTGTTGCAATGCAATTCCAGTTAAGATACTCGTGTCCATTAGGGAAGAAAAATGTCTCCTCTTGGTTTCTGGGGATGTGGCAAACCTGATCCATCCCTGGGTTAGCTCCGCTGCTGTCGGTTAGGGACCCGTTGGTTCTCCAGGGACTCTGCTGTGTCCTTCACTGAGGATTTGCATCCACCTAAGGTGAAGTTCCCGTGGCTTGTTTGGCATTGCATTCCCTGATTAGAAAATTAATAACAGTTGGTTATAACTTCTCCTTCTCCCTTTGTTGCTGTAGAAGTGAGCAATGCCATCAGACTCAAACGAAGATTTGCTTTATGAACCCGATGTAAGTCGCCTTCTTGGATGTAGCGCTCTATCCCTGGCCTCTGCGGTTGTCACCAGCTCCGACGGTGCGTGGAGAGAGACTGGGAGAGTTTCTTACCTTGTAGGCAGTAAAAGAAAGCCGATACCAACAAGGAACAATTTTGGGGTGGGAAAGTCAAGAAAACTCAACCAGTTTGGATGCCTGGGGTGGAGCTGGGCAAAGGACAACCTGTGTTGGGACAAAACATC